TTCTCGTTTTATCATTTTTTTGGTCATTTCATCCATTTTGGATACATTTTTTTGCTGGATTTTGTTAATTATACAAACATAAATATTTGTATATTTATGTATCGGCATTATTATCAATTTTAATAATGCTTAAGTAAACATTAGAAATTGAGTAAACTTCAAGGCTTCGTTGTTTTAATAAATTTAATATATCTAAATAGGTATATATATGTGTATACCTATATAAAAATGACGTGTCATTTCAGAAAAGAACGCATGTTTTGGAAAATATCTAATCAGAGTAGCAAAAGTGCTTCGACAATTGGTTGCACAAGTTTATAGATATTAATGGAGAATATTTTGAAAAACAATAAAGCGATTTTCGATAGTTTATATTTATTTTTGTTCTGTAATCCCGTATTTGGATCACTCATTTTCGAAATTAAACTTCAAGTGCAATTCTCTCGATTCATACACCTCCAATAACGTTTCCACCTTTATTCGTAAATAAGATTTTTTCTGTATTGAATAATTTTCTATAATTGTATTTAATATATACTATAGTCACCGCCACGCGTGGTCGAAACTACTAGTATACCATATATTTATATTTTTTGTTATTCATAATTTGGAGGTCCAATATTCTTAAAATAACATATTATTTGTAGGTTATGATGAATTAGATATTCAATATTTGTTAGCATACTGCATATATATGTACCACATGTAATGTGAAACAGAGCCATATAAATAGCTCAATTTTATCTTATTAACTCTAATTATTATGTATGTACATATATGAATAGGTATTTATTATATACAAACATATTTAAATGTACTTGTGTAAATATACATATGTATGTACTCATAGTTCAAAGTCAAATTCGTTTTTTTACTTGATAGTTGTTAATTTATAAATATATTCGGACATACACGAGTATTAGGTTAGTCCTTAAACTTTTTGACTTAAATCGCTTAGACATTATTTGCGTTGAATCCGGTAGCAGACGGTCAAGGAATGATTAAAAAAATTTGAGCTTTGGACCTATGGAGGAGACGTTTCAACCTCCTCTAAACGCGACAAAATTGTAGTATACGCATACGTTAGAGCAGTATAAAACCTTCTCCCAATAGCCAAGAAGATGCTCATACGGTTGCAACTTTTGGTCGCATATAAATCGGTATGCAATTTTTTTTTAACAGACTAGGTTTTATTCAATTTTATCTATCTTTAAAAGCCTTTCTTTAGAAGCAATACAAACTGCGCGTAATAGAAAAATCTTTTTCGAGTGTTCAGAAATCATTATTTTTAGAAAGCTTGAGAAATACCATTGTGATCCTGCACTTCCGATTTAAAATTTTATATATATTAATAACAGCGAACGTTGTTATGATCGTGAAATGTGCTTACAGCCTTCTATCCTAGACGTCGAGTTTTTGTGCCACAGGACAAGATATAGTGTTTAATAGAAAGCCAATATCTGCTTCTTCGTCAAAACGATTATCTTAAAATTATAATATGATTGTCGATGAATATGGATTTGAGGTGAAAATGAAGGCAGTGTTCGTTACTATTGATTTTGATCGAATTAGGAGGTCATTAGTTCTTCCCCGCATGTTTTCCGAGTAGAGATCAATTGGCACACCTGGTGTGACAGCCTAAAAAAAGCGAATTTTGCGAATTAAAAAAAAGTATTCCTATATCAATTTTAGATGTATATTTATACATACATATTTTAGAAATACCCAGTAAAATTTTCAAAGGAAAAAATTAATTATTGTTCGCGTTATACGCGATCTCTGACGGCGCTAAAAAATGTCTTCCACTGCTGCAGTGATTCCGGGTTTCTTTGTGGATGAAGCCTCAAAGAAATTATCTACAATACTATAAGATACTTGTATTACTGTATAAAAAAATTTAAAAATTTACTAAACTAAGTGGTTACACTTTAGAATGCTGTAACTCAAAAACTATTTGAGATATCGGTTTAAAGTTTAGTACGTTTTTGTTAAAGGTATGTGTATCCTAATAAATATGAAAAAATTATCAATATACATATAATATCATACATAGAATATGATGTTTATAATATGCCACTTTATGTCAAACTAATCGCATGTTTTCATGATTCACAACGCGAATAGCATTTATCTACTCGATGGTATCGGTTTTTTTAATTACTGTTATCAGCAAGTTAATGCGTACCGCACCGAGTAGGTGTGCCAATATGCATATAGGTACATAGGTATGTTTCTTTTTTTTTGATATGCGAAATAAGTAATTCTAAAAGAAAAACAAAATAATAATATGAATAAATAAATCGAAATGGAAAATCTGATTTAATTTATTAATTATTTCTAGCAACTGACATAAGTAATGTTAAAATGTAGAACTCTCTCTTTTTAAAACCACATGGAAAGTTAGTTACGAAACTAGTAGACATGCGTTTATTTATTAAAATACAATTTTTTATTGAACAAAAAAAAAACCAAAAGTAGAGAAATTGAAGATGTTTTAGATCGAAATGAACAGCAACAGCTGCTGTCAGCTTATCTTTGGTTGCTATTTGATTTTTATGCAGCGACTGCCTCGCGCCGATTAGTCATTTGTATTAATTTAGTTTACAATAAAAATGAAATGAGGGAAATACCGCTTTACTCACAAATGTAGAGCTCACAATCATGCCTCGTAGGAAAATAAACTAAGGAGTTTCTTTGTGTATTACAAATCACGGCTTCGTCAACGCCTCAAGAGTGGCCACGGCAAAGAGTGCCGCTTAAGCATTTAATGTAAAAATAAATATAATGACCGAAAATATAAATAAATATCTCATATATGCGAGAAGTCATGTATGCATGTAGATAAATCTTCATGACTGTATCTTTTAACGCATTTGTTCGGTCATCAGCGGCAAAATGTGGTTGATGTTTTTGATGGTGCAAAGTGTCGTAAATAATTATTGCTACTACTGCACAGTTTTTGTAGATGTTGTTGTTGATGTGGGGGACTTCTTTTCGTTGTGAGACATACTTTGCAAGTATTCAATAATTTTTGGTTTAATAAAGTACAATTTAAATAGACTTGACTCGCTTCTGAGCTATACTAATTAATCAAAATTTACAATTCGTTCTAATTACTTATTTATATCAAACCTTCGTATATACTATATACTTATATTCAATATATAAGCTGTCATTGACTTAATCCAAAAATCAATGCTTTTAAATTTTCACTTAACATATCAATACATAACTCTGTGTCAAAACCTGTTAGCTATAACAATATAAATTAATTTGCGTTAATCGAATCTCCAAAGACACTGTTTTATTTATGATGTTTTGCCGTGAGAAATAAAAAGCTGTTGTAGGTGTTTACCTACTAACATTTGTGGAAGGTTTAATTAGGTTTTATGAGGTATTCGAATTTGCGCCTTTAAAGACATCCTTTCTCACCTCGTGTAAGTGCTTCTTCATGTTCTTGAAGGCGATTTTTATTGAAGCAAGTGCATAGACTTGTTTCAAAAACATGCTGGCAGATATTGTATATTTGACAGTGTGGAGTTAGAACACCTACAATTGCAAATTTCAGTAATTCCTTTACAAATTTGTCTATAATAGCATTATTTAAGTTGTTTTCATTGTAGGCAAATATTTATCATACCCTGATTATCAAGCTTGTCTGAAAGGTTGTGACACCCAGAAGAAAACGTCGGAGACCCTTAAAGTATTACTATGATCAGCATACATTATGATCAGCGGGACGAGCTTTTCAGATATCGATCTGAAATTTTGCAGACCTTGTTTTCTTAATAAAAAAGCTGCTCATTTGTCGGATGGGCCGATATCGGACTACTATGGTATATAGCTGCCATACAAACTGAACAATCAGAATCAAATACTTGTATGAAAACTTCTTTCATTTGACTATGTATCCTCACGAAATTTGGCATGAGTTATTTTCTAAAGCAATAATGTAATCTACGAAGAAATTGTTTAGATCGGATCACTATAGCAAATAGCTGTCACGCAAACTGAACGATCGGAATCAAGTTCTTGTAAGGAGTCTTTGTATTTGTAAAGGGTATTATAGCTTCGGTGCAACCAAAGTTAACGTTTTTTCTTGTTTTTAAATAATTTAGGTACTGTAGCCTACATTTAGGCGATAAACATCAATTATTATAAATATATATTAAATTACTTAATATTAACTTTAATATCAAATAATATTAAACTATTTAAAATTAATACAGAAAACGTAACTTACAATGAATAATAATATTTAATTTAGATTTTAAAAAGTTTAAAACAACTTTAATAGTACAAATGCAAATAAACTAAGATTCTACATACATTCGACCACATATATACCCATATAAATTAATATTTTACAGCTGTTTGAAACAACTTAGTTGCTAACACTAGCTGTAACTATAATTGCCATTCTTATAATTTGCACATACCGGTACTACTATTTTTATTTCACTTATTCATACAATTTTTCCTTTTATCTACTTCTCGGTCTTGCTGTTTTGCTGTGCTGCTGCTTTGTATAATACCACTGCTTGTACGCGAACAACAACAACATTCCCACCATGCAAATGTATGCAACAATCAACTCACTGCCAATTCAACGAACAAACAAAAATATAAATAAATCATTTGAACTGGCCAAACCACCACACACCTATATACATATGTTTGTATGCGTGTAAATATGTATGTACATATATGTGTGCACATAAATAATTATAACAATTCGGCCAATACTCACTCAACATCTATTATTCTACAAAATGTTTTGTTATCACTGCGGTTACTCAATAATGCTCATGCAAAATAACAAAAACAAAAACAATATATACATATATTTATACGAAAATTATAATTTTTTTTCTCGATGAATTGTGTATCTTTTACTCTCCCAAAACCCATCTTCATTCGTGTGCTCACCTTTCGTGTATATATATGTATATACATTTGTATGTATGTATGTTTGTGCATATGCTGCTTTCTAAATTTAGGGCATCTTGAGTAGCAGCAACAGCAGCCAGAAAAAGCACAACCACCGTCGGAACGCACGAGAGAGCAACGTGTGGGCATTTTAAATAGTCGACCGGCGCTATTGAAGTAGAACGCATTCGGTGCAGTTGATGTATTTCACTTCGCGTGCGTATAGTATGTTGGCAACAGATTTATTTTTTGTGTTAAATTAGAGTTGCGTAAAGTTTGTACCGTTTCAAAGAAATTGAAACTCAGCTGATTTGCGCACCGTTATTACCAGTGCAGACGGTCAGTTAAAGTTGGCAGTTTGAAGAGTAAATAAATTTAGCATAACTAGAAAAGTACGAAATATCATTAGAAGGTGTTAGTGTTGAGGAAGCAAATTAATTGCGTTGCAAAAACAGACAACTGTTATTCAATCTAAAGCGACGAGTTAATTCATGCTCTCTTGATTGTATCGTCGACACCGCTACAAACTGCAACAACGACGACGAGTTTAACAGCAGACACTTCGTCAAGTATCGTGACGATCGGCTAACAGCAGCAGACGCTTGGGAACGCGCACACACATAAAATGGATTCACTTAAAATTCCAAAAGGTAATACCTAAGCTGTCTAACACTCCAAACAAAAGCCTTTTAATGCCTTCATATGACTTATGTATTATGTATGTGTGGTTTATGTATTAACACATATTTCTTTGTTGTTTTTTTTTTTGCCTTGCAGGTGGAAATAGCAATGCGGCAGGTGGCGCCGGCGGCAAACCCACTGGCAGCGTACCAATCACCGTGCGATTTAATGCCGGCGATGAATGTATTGATGATATCTTTCAGTCATTTCACAATAGCAACAATAGTGGCGGCGGTGGTGCGGGCATTGTTGCCGGCGGCAATGGCAGTGTGGGTGGCAGTGCTGGTGGTGGTGGTGGTCCGAACGCCGGCGGTGGGGATTCCCTGTCGAGCAGCCCATCGCAACATCATCAGCTGCAGGCACAACAAAATGTAAGCGCCTATTGTGTATGTGTGTGTGTGTGTGTGAATGTGTGCTTTCGTAATTAAAATAATATGTATTAAAACCAATACTATACCTCCAAATGCATGTACAGGTGGTTTGCACATGCTCATCTTCGTTTGGTAGATAAATATTTTGTTGAAATAGTTTCGACGGTTCACGATCACTTACTTTTGCAATGCAGTGTATAGAAAATAATTTCTCAATCCGTATTCCCTTTGATTTTGCAGCTACGGCAAATATTGTCCCATTTTGAACGCATGTTCTCCAAATGGCCGATGCAAGCAGCTCTAAGTCGGTATATAACTTTCCTGGACCTAGTCAAGAGTCCTTTTTTCTAGTTTTATCATACTAAGGCCACATTGGCTTCATTATTTTATATAGTTCCATATGCTCTGAGTTATTTCTTCAAATTGTGTATTGCTCTCCCTTTTAATCGTTCCTAGCGAACATGGTATTATCTCTGCCACAGATTCGTCTAGAGAGACTCCTAACTTGGCCCATTCGTGTCGTTTTTCGTTGCCGAAAATGTTTCCGTGACCGGGAACTCAGATTATGAACAAGTGGAGTTGACCTTCCAGTGTGTTTAAAGCCTTCCTACATTTGTTTGATTGTTGAAAAGAGAATGAAATTTTTTCTCTTTCAAGCTTAATAAAAGGTGTATTTGAGTGTATAAAAAGTTTCGCCATTCACAATTTGATACGAAGCGGCGGCTACTGAGTCAAACCTTAGAATCACCTTTTTCAAGAAGGCCTGTACGAGCGTCGGTGTTTCTAGGAACTTGTGCTCTTTGAATTAATCTAAACAACGGAATTTTAATCTTCATCAGACTAGCAAGTAAATTATTTTGTTTGTAACTTTACATAATTATTCGCGAAAAGGCGGGCTTGTAAAAAATATTTTAATTATAAATATTTGATTATATTAAAAATATGAGCAGTAAATTGTTTCTAAAAAAGTTGAAAAAATAATGAAAAATTCTACGTACTTATTATTACTCTGAAGTTGTAGTTAAAATTTCAAATGGATATGTCTCATCGTCGCCAGATTTGAAAAATATTCGTTCCGAGACAAAGCCATTTTAAGTTAAAAATCAAGTTCTTTTATGGAAAACCTATTATTTGTAGAGGGTGGGCACTGTAGTTTCGGTGCAGCCGAAGTTAACATTTCTGTTAAACAAACTACGAGTATAAGCCCCCATCATGACACTACTGTGTTATCGATAATAAATTCTTTATTTGATTATTATCACTCCATAGTAAACAATTATAAATATTCCTTCAAATTCTTAGAAAGTCCACTATTTGTCGCTTTGTTTGTTTATTTGATACTTCTATTTATTGATCCATTACTTAAAGCCCTTACGACGGTAGTTTTCGTTCTGCATAAAATCGCTGGCGACCACTCGCCTGCATTTCAGTCAGTTTCAGTTGACGTTGGCATTCGTGCAAAACAAGTTCAGTGTTATTTTATATCGCGATTTCTGGCTGCCGGTTGTGCTGCTTCACTAAATATACAATCTTGCTCTTTAGTATATATACATACATATAATATATATGCATAAATATGGTCGACTTGCATACGTGCTATATCGAGTTATACAAATATGTTGAGTGAGTCATATGAGTATAATATACTATTGCTTTCAAGCATTTTTTACATTAAACACGAAATATTCTTCTGCAACGTATTTAGAAAAGAAAGATTTGACTTTTTTTATCGATCCGAAATTGCAGATTTGTGTTTTTTAAACTGAATTATTTAATTATATTATCCTATATATTCTATCGGTTCTAGAGAATTTACAATAATCCTTATCGCTTTTTAGTCGGCTATATTTATATTTGTCGAAATGAAAATTATTGGAAAGGTGTGTTCAAATTTGTGTGCTCAAAATAATATTCGCTTACACGTTTCCAATAAAAAGTTATTAGATAACAGTTCAAAGCGAAAATATAAGAAAATATAACAGATACTTCCATCAATTAGTGTTATCATCTAATTATTTATACCCTGGCAACATACTGCACAAGATTTTTGTTAGACTATCGGTTGTAAACTTAAAAACATGTGTGTGGGGTTATATAATATGGCGGTGCGATATGACCTACTTAAAAAGAATGAAAATTTAGAAAAAATGGTGTTTATTGCTCAACATAGTATCCATTTAGTTTCGTACATTTGAACCAGACTTTTATTTTAACTCGTCATTCGACTAATATTTCTGATCGGCGAGTGACCTTTCCATGTTTGGAAACAAAAAACAGTTTCATGGATCCCAATTTGGGCAATGCGATAGACTTTGGTCGTGACGATGACCTGTGTCCTGGTTTTGCCTTTTTGAGAAAAGGTGGCCCTCACATCATTATTAATATTAGATTAATAGAGCAAGGCACCTCGTTTACTCGAAGAAACATGGATGCACTAGGGCAACCTTTGTCCCTTACCGCGACAGTCAGGTCTGTGTAACCCGAACGAATTCGGATTTTAATTCTGCCAAGGACTGTCAACTTGGCAGTGTTTCTCAAAAAAATTTGATTTCCAAAAACTGACCAAATTTTTCGGTACCAGTCCAGACCTTTTTCCCCGTATTTACCGACAGAAATAATAAGCCCAAGTTCCTTTGATATCGATTTCCATCGCCTCTTTGAAAAAATAGAACTCAATGATGGTTTTGGCTCAAGTAGAGATTGAAATCACTTTGAATTTCCCACGTAATGGCGTTTTATGAGTCTAGAATGAATATTTTTTACTAGTATGAAATAGTCCTCCGCGATATGCACCTATTTCCGCGCATAATTCTAGTGCTATTTATTTACTTTTTAATTTGAATTGTATATTTTATTTCATAAAATATATTTTTATACAATAATTCAAATTCAATTAATCCTTTCTTTATTTTCTTTACTTTTGTCGCAAATATAATTTTAATTTGTTTTATTTATTTGCAAATTGCTAAGATTATTTTGGGACAGAAACATAAGTGTCTCAGGATTTATAAAAATACATAAATATGCATCCGCTACTTTGTCAAAATCTTTCCGCTCATTGGTGATGAGTAGTCTGCCATAATAGTGAACGCGTGTTGTCGAGAGCAGCTCATTTTCTCTTCCTCTTCCCCTTCATTTTATTATATTGTTTTTTGCCTTTTAAATTATATTTTATTGCCAAACAAATAAAAAATATATTTCTGTACATAAGTGTATGCTAATTTGGCACATGTGGCATCTCTTTGATAGCAGGTGTTTAACGAAGCAATTAAAATAATTGATGAGTAGTGAAATATTTTTAATTGCAAAACGATATAAATGAAATATGGTGTGTACTTTACTAAAAAAAAATTAAAGAAACACATTTCGCTTTGCTTGTCACCTATTGCTGCTGTAAAACAAATTTTAATGCGCACTCAAGAGTTATGCACATACATAAATATGTGTGTGTGTGTGCAAGTTAAACAAACATTTCGGAATGCACTAATTGTTTAACAATATATTGTGCTTGTAAATTATTAATACATGATGTACATTTGAGATTTTTTAAAATTATTTTTATAATCTAGTAAAAAACTTAATTTTTCAGTAGTTTTCGTACTGAAATATTTATACATGGTACATAAATATAAAGGGTGAGCCATATGTTGTGTCAGTATTTAGTTACTGAATAACTTTGCCAGTTACAAACTATGTAATTAAACGTTTTGGAAAACTTAACTCACCACAATTATCAATTGCTGTATTCGAAACAATAAATAATAAATGGGGTCGTCCCATTTTTAACTAGCGTTAGTATTAAAAACTACACATTTGGTATGAGATAATCTGTTCGAGATCTTGGACGGCCCCTAGGCAAATTTCGTGAATATATGTTGTCAAATAAAATATATATTTATACTCTCGCAACCTGTTGCTACAGAGTATAATAGTTTTGTTCACCTAACGGTTGTTTGTATCACCTAAAACTAATCGAGTTAGATATAGGGTTATATTTATATAAATGATCAGGATGAAGAGACGAGTTGAAATCCGGGTGACTGTCTGTCCGTCCGTCCGTCCGTCCGTCCGTGCAAGGTCTAACTTGAGTAAAAATTGAGATATATTTATGAAACTTGGTAGATATGTTTCTTGGTACCGTGAGACGGTTGGTATTGCAGATGGGCGTAATCGGACCACTGCCACGCCCACAAAACGCCATTAATCAAAAACAAATAACTTGCCATAACTAAGCTCCGCAATAAGATACAAGACTGTTATTTGGTACACAAGACTCACATTAGGGAGGGGCATCTGCAGTTAAAACTATTTTTAAAAAGTGGGCGTGGTCACGCCTCTAATAGGTTTAATGTGCATATCTCCTAAACCGCTAATGCTATAATAACAAAATTCACTAGAAGCAAATGTTTTTAGCACTTCTATTGACGGTGTGAAAATAGTTGAAATCGGGTGGCAATAACGGTACTCCCCATATAACGGTACTGTTAAAAACTACTAAAAGCGCGATAAATCAAGCACTAAACACGCCAGAGACATTAAATTTTATCTCTGAGATGGTATAAATTGGCTTTATAGAAACCGCGTTCAAAATTAGTCAGTGGGCGTGGCACAGCCCACTTTTAGGTGAAAACCCATATCTTGAGATCTGCTCAACCGATTTCAACCAAATTCGGTGCATAACGTTCTTTTCATGTTTCTATGTCATAGTGCGAAAATGGGCGAAATCGGAATACAACCACGCTTACTTCCCATGTAACACCATTTTCAATTCCATCTGATTCTTTCACTTTCCACTATGCAAATCAGGTAACAATGATTATATCGGGGTAAAACTTTGCGTGAATAATGCAATTAAAGTATGCCACCTTGCGGCCAAAAATTGTCTAAATCGAACCAAAACTGTTCAAACCCCTAAGTACTAACTATGTGGACCCCAGTGCCTATAGTTGACCTTCTACCGAAAATATCAGTCAATCCACAAAGAAATCTCAAACGAGTATACCATTTGACTTTGCGAGAGTATAAAATGTTCGGTTACATCCGAACTTAGGCCTTCCTTACTTGTTTATATATACATTTTTCTATACAAGGATTTGATTTTGATAGGTCAGCTCCTATGACAGCTATATGCTATAGTGGTGCGACCTGAACAATTGTTTCGCAGATTATACCGTTGTTTTAGACAATAATCCATGCCAAATTATGTGAAGATATATTGTCAAATATAAAAATTTTTCATACAAAGGCTATGGCAGCTACATACATGCCATGCTTTAGTGGTTCGATCTGAGCTATTTATTCGGAGAATATACCGTTACCTTAGGCAATAATCCATGCCAAATTTCGTCCAGATATCTTGTCAAATAATAAAGTTGTCCATACAAGGCCTTGATTTTGATCGGTCAGTTTATATGACAGCTATGTCCTCTAGGGCTCCAATATCGGCGGTATCGACAAATCGGCAGCTTCTTGTGGAGAAATGGATGTGTGCGAGAATTTAGATCGGTAACTCAAAACTGAGGCAGTAATTCGTGTGTATATAGCCAGACGGACATACGAACATGGCTAAATCGGCTCAGCTCGACACGTTAGTGATGAAGAAAAAAGGATAAATTTTGATTGGCACTTCATTGATCTTGTATTCAAGTCCAAGTAAGTTCTAAAGGTGCTCAATTAAATTAAAATATTTCAACTATACCATAAAAGGCAGTTAGTTAGGATTTTTAAAGAAATTGAGTGTTTAAATATCGAGATAAAATCCTCCATACCTTGTATGAAAGCCAATTTGGAAATTGAAGCTCTAAAAATTGATCATAATTGCACAGAAACTTGATATATGAAATTGTAGTTATTTTCTACTCCTAGGTTCGGAGTTTTATATAAATGGTATTCAAAATTCGAGATATTTTGAATATAACTATTTATTCTAAAAAAGTCGATTCCATATATATTGTATTCAGAGGTTTTATAAAGATACACATATAAAATAATATTTTAAACCTGAAAGTATAGAATATTTCTTTTATATTTAGTACGCAAATTTTGAAATTGTAATAAAGGGTGCCATATTATAGACATGATGAACAATTGACGCATGATAGTAACGACATTCACTATAATTATCCTAGCTCAATAACCCTTTTTTATTATAGGAAACAATAGATAATGTTCAATCGACTTATTTGTAAGTTATTACGATTAGATTTATAAGTGCAAAATAGTTTCACTGTGAAAACTGGCATTCGACGAAAAATATGTACATATTTTTTATTGGTACTAGTAATACTGGCTATAAATGCTCTTATCTTTACTGCCTGCATTTACAAATGCGTTTATATGGTACAAATACTTGTATGTCTATAATAATAGATGTTATGCGAAAGAGTTGCTACCTATCAAAAAAAAAAAAAAAAAAAAAAAAAAAGGAAACATCACGGTTTGGCGAAACTCTGTGGAATGCATTTCGAAAAGTTTTCAATTTAGACATAATTGTGAATAGCATTATGCTGGCTACATACACATACAAGTATGTATGTAGATTTAAAATAGTTTGAAATAGCAATGCCACTTTTCGCAAAATGTAAAACTGAGCAGAATACAAGTATTACTAAATTCGTGTTATAAAATATGAGTTTAAGAAATTCTTCCTGAAAGTATTCAAAGGCGCTTTAATAAAAAATATTTTGTCATTGGGTTGCCATATAAACATATACATGTACATCTAAAAATTAATAAATAGTACAATAATTTTTATATATATTTTTTCATTACTTCTATATTTTTTTATTGCTTTCTGTTTTTTATATATGCTTTCCTTTTATTTTCTGTTCACTTATGTATTATCTTTATCCATTTCAGGTGGATGATGTAAACACAAGGAATAATTTTCTGCAAGGCAATTTCTTCAATCGTAAAAGGTATGTACTGCACAAATTTTTCTATAAATACTACATATGAATACTTGAATCAAAAATCACCCCAAAAACATTTCTACCTTCTCTTACACATAACTACTGTTGCCAGACATTTTTTTATGGGAAATCAATGCTGCGAGTCTAACCTAATCGAATGTTGGTTGCTGTGGCTATAATTCTTTTTAAGACATGGTGTAGGAAATAGTTGCAAGAATTAATCAAAAGAAAGTACTTTAAGTAGGGTTTAAAAAAGTCACAATTATTTGATTTGTTTTTATGAATTAAAATATGTTAAATTATTGAAAAAAATTATTTAGAATTATATATCACAGATTTTCATAGCACTTATATATTATTTAATTATTTTATATTAAAAAATGGGAAATATAAGTTTATAATATATTTTAATGCTCATATTATATTTTTTATAACTTTCTAAGCTATTTTTGGGATTTGGGAAACCTTTAATTTGGTTTGCATTTGTAGTAATATAAACATTCTTTATAAGTTCTAGAAAAGTGTTAGGTCAGTCTACAGCCCTCAAACTACTCTTAACGTAAAGAAAATGTTATCAAATTCCTATATTTCAAGCTTTATTAGCTATGTGAGTTTATACATAAAGTTTTATAATGATATTTTGATACAATGTGGAGGCTACTGGGCTAATCTTCCGAATAATCTCTTTCAAAAAGGCGATGGTCTCGGCGTACTCTTGTAGCCTTCGTAAAGTAATGCGCTTAAAATTTTACATGCTGGACTGAGTCTAAACTCTTCGACATTAGTGGATTGCACAGAGAAATATAATTTTTTCACTATTTTACTCATTAAATAAAGTTTTTTTAGAGACTAAAATGTAATTCAAGCCAAACAAAAAGAATTTTATTTCAACATAGATAGTCTAAAGCCCTTAAGTACGTATCAGTCCATTTTCACATCTTCTCTTTAGGCACATTTTTCACCATCAAAATCAGTGACCATTGATACAAACAGGTTGTAGTCACTTGGTTCGAAGTTTGGACTATATGGCGGATGGATATAAACATTCCAACTAAGTTAAGTGTGTGGCTTTCCGATGTCCTGATGGAACACAACTTCTATTTTATTGGCCAAAAGCTGGCCGCTTCTGAGCTAATTGCCGTAGGGGAGTAGCTCATAACAAATGATTTCCTGCCAATTTCATCAAACCGTGTGCTGTGTGCCAAACCTTCTATTTGTTGGTGTCCATCTTTTCTACGTGCTCAAAGAATGCAAAGTCCAGCGATCAAAAAACTGTCTGAAAGTTTTAGTAGGACGAAATCTCTCTCAAACGCTATATAGATGACCCGATCGCAATTATACATATACAAGTATCCCTAACACACTGAATACTATAATAAAACCATCTATTGGAAAAATAATGGATTTCTTACTATACCTAATATATATAGAAAAGTGACCAACATGCAAAATTGAAATTGTACTAAAGCACAAACATTTCAATATTATTGTGTTTCGAAAAATATTATTTGTTTACATTTGCTTGATAAGGGTTAAATGCCTTAGTGGTGGTGATTGATCATTCATAATTTGGCTTTTGTAAAATATTGTTTATTTGTGCACATTTTGATGCATATATGTACTGTATATATATTATATATCCATATAGACTTGTATATGATAGATTTACATATATTGTATAAATGTGCATATATGTTTCTATTGTCATAAGAGTTTAGCGCCAATTTATGATACTGTCATAATAGCATTTGTATATATGTATAGGTACAAACCAGTATATATGTACATACATTTTATTACTTAGATAGCAGTATGTAAATGTGTGCAAGTGTTAAAGTATTAGTCTCAAGCATATGCAAGCAGTTTTATTAATTTTTTTTGTTATTTCTGTTGTTTTATGTTATTTGCTTTTGTTATTGTTTCAGTATCATAGCTGGCGTTCATGGCATTTTTGCCTCTTTTGTCACTTTACATACGCGCTTTATTGTTAATTCCACCAGCCTACCACCTCCTCCTACCATTTGGGTGGTCGGTCGGTTGGCCTGCATATTATATATGTAACGGTTGACAACGAATTTATGAATGAACACAGCCACGCTCAAGTATTGTTCTACTATTTCGCTGCGGTTGAGCGCACTGAAGAACGCCAAAAGTGTTTTTTTTTCATTCATTTGTCTTCTTTACTGGCGGAGTTGGTAGCAACAGACAGACAGACAGAAAGTAAGGTAAGCTGGCTGGTGTTTGCTTTGTTTGTCGTCAGGAGAATGAAGTGGCGACTGAAGTTGCTGCCTGCTGCCTGTCTTTGAACAAGTGCAATGCATTGCTTTGCATTCATAGGCGCATTCCCATGCAATCGCTGACGAGCTTTTGCGCAGACTCGCATACTACTACACTTATCTCCATATATACGAGTATGTATATGTACTTGCATGTGTGCAAAATGCATTTTCAGCTCAAGTCAAAGTCAAAGCGATACACAGGTGAAACGCTTTAAGTTATGTGACACGCTATATTGACTGCAGTGAATGACTTTTGCTTGAGACAGCAGCCTTTTTAATAACTGCTGCAGTCTGTTCTTTTTCTAACTTTTGTTTTGAACTTTTTTTTTTTACATTTCTCTTGACCCTAAACAGGGTATATAAGTTTACCTGGAAGTTTTTGACATCCAGAGGGAAACCTGAGAGTTTTTATAAAGTATATACGTATATAAAAGTTCAGCGTGACGAGCTGAGTCGATTTAGCCATGTATATCTGTATAAGCGCTGACGAATCTTGCAGTTTTTGAGATATCGATCTGAAATTTGGCACACGTCCTTTTCTCCCCAAGCAGTTGCTCATTTGTCGGCACCGCCGATTTTGGACCACCATAAGTAAAAATTCAAGTTCTTGTATGGAACATTTTTTTATTTACTGTCCAAGACAATGCTACAATCTTCGAACATATTGTTCAGATCAGACCATCATAGCATATAGCTGCAATACAAAGTGACCGTTTCAAATTAAATACTTGTATGGAAAACATTTTTATTTATCAAATTTTCTTTATCGAATTTAGCATAGATTATTGTCCAATCCGCGAATAAATTGTTTAGATCCGCCCTCTATAACATATAGCTGCCATACAAAATCTAGTTATTTTATGAAGATTTTTTATTTGTAAAGGGTATTAAGCTTCCGTGTAGTCAAAGTTAACGTTTCTTCCTGTTTTTTTTTTTTTTTTTTTTTTTTTTTTTTGTGTTTATCTTTTCACCCTTTTTAACGGTTCAACGGTTCTGTGCGCGCGCTATACTTTACACACTCAAGTACTTATCCATTCTTGCCGCACTCGTGTAGGCAAGTCGTGCGCTTGAATTGCAATTGCAATGCTCTTGCCATTAAGTGGATCTCACAGCTGCATTTGCATACAAATTTATGTCTGTGTATGCATCGAGGCATAAAATATAGACACCACACACATTTCGAACATACATGCGTACACCTAAAGCATATATAATTAAGCAACGTCGAGTTGCATGCCGACGGCTTGTCACTTTGCACCGAAAAACTAACAACAATCTACATTGTTAATGACTTTGACTGTCGTGCTGTTATCAAGTGTCTCTGCGCTGGCAGCAGCGTCTATGTGTCTACTTAATTTAGCTTAGTCGTCTAGGCTGTAGCCTGCCTACCCTTTGTTGCCAACCCGTTGCATAGTCCTGTTGCAGCGTCATTTCCACTATTACTTTAGTAGTTACTACTTATTTGCTAGTGTTGACGTTGCCGTCACTGCAAACCAAACCACTTTGTTCTTGTATTTTTACCGTTTTTTTGTTATTTGTATTGGTTTTGTTAGTGCATTACTCCCAACTCTTTCGTCGGCATGTGGAACAAAAAGTCAGCTTTCTTGCACCTTTTCATTTTAAAAATTAAAAAGCGTCTGGGTATGACTTGTTTTATGCCTACTTTTCAACCCCTAGTCTCGTTGACGCGTGTCTCTTTTGCACAAACTTCGCTAGCCGATACCGCTATTGACTGATTCTTCTCCGATATTTATGTAGTTGTTGGAAAACTTCACTTGTATTCGTTGCTGTAGGCCTATACTTGTACTGTCTTGGTATTTGCATGCTGTAGCCCCTTACCGCCTTTGCGCCTAAATGTATGCTTACTTTCTCATATATATGTATTTCTTTTGCACTTTTTGTATTTGGTTTAGATTTTTTTTTTTATTTATTTATGTTTTTGTTTTCTTTTCATATAGTTTTTGTTTCATTGCTTCCTTTTATATTCTTGCTGCAGCTTTGTTTGTGCTTCTCTGTGTCTGCTGCATTTCTATACATTGCAACCGTGCATTTCGACATGTGTTCAAATTACTTTCAGCCACATATATACATATATATGTACACACATAGCTGTAAAGTCTCTAAATTGCACTAGCTCGTTTTTTGCAAACATAATTTACACACATACATACATGCACATGTCTGTTGTTTACGCTCCATTGTTGTAGTTGTAGTTTTTTGTAAAAGGAAACATATGCGGAAGAAGTGCTCATAGCGAGTTCGAGAGGTTATTGATTCCAACATAAATTATACCCAACATACATACATATGTCATATTAATGCATTTTCATATACTGGGTGGATAAAATAGTTCTAAAAATTTTATAATTCGTTTTAGCTGCTTCAAAATTCTTAGACCTCTAAGCCAATATAAGCATGCCAACAATTAATTAAATTTTTGATATATTTGTTATATGCCTCGGCTGGGAGGGCCTTCAGTGCCCCACTTTTTGAGCGTGATTCGCTAGGTTGTTGGACAATTTCCACTTCATATTTATTGACTTACTCTAATCGACGTCGTTTTTGCAAAATATTCAAGTATTTTGCTACAAGTCTAGCACTGACACACTTCATACGCAAAACATTAACTAAAAAGTCGTTCGAAAAGAGATGTTGAGACCCTCTGCTGTCTCTCCGATATCTACACAACGACTTTCAAGTATTGTTTCTTTAACTTTCTGTTATCGT